AAATGATTAATTAGGTATTAATAATCCAAAATTGAGCTTTTCTCTCTTTTTCTATCTTACACACATCAAACAAGTAAAAAGTTTGCCCAATCTGAATAATCTCTCCCCCCAAAATCACCATTGATTTATAGATATCAAGAGGAACCAAAACTGGGCACTACTGCAAGGGGCAGCAGGTTCAATGCCACATTCTACCTTACAGTTTTTGAACCTATTAGAAGCTCTCCAGAGAAGTGGTAAAGTTAGTCTAGAAATAATGTCAGTGTATAATATTCAATTATAGTTTGAAAATGTTTCTTCCCCCAGCAGGCAAGATGAGCAATGAGTTAAAAGTGGAGGCACTTGCTTAGTACCAAAGGCAAGGAAGGAAGGAAGGAAGGAAGGAAGGAAGGAAGGGAGGGAGGGAGGGAGGGAGAAAGAAAGGGAGGGAGGGAGGGAGGGAGGGAGGGAGAAAGAAAGGGAGGGAGGGAGGAGAGAGAGAGAGGAAGGAAGGAAGGAAGGAAGGAAGGAAGGAAGGAAGGAAGGAAGGAAGGAAGGAAGGAAGGAAAGAAAGAAAGAAAGAAAGAAAGAAAGAAAGAAAGAAAGAAAGAAAGAAAGAAAGAAAGAAAGAAAGAAAGAAAGAAAGAAATTCAATTTCCTTTCCCCAGCTAAACAAAAACCCTAAGTTTTACAGTCCTATGACCTAGATATAGTCAACGAGATCATACAGGATGTTCCCAGGGAGAAAGACCTCAACTCTCAGCTGTTCAGCCAACTTTTCGGTTTAAAAAACTTCTTTACAAGGGAATACTGAAACGAACACAAACAGAGGTTTATGGAATAAAAACAGTGAACTATCTTAAACTCAGGGGAAAAAATAAGAGCTAAACTGGGTGCATGGGGCTGTGACCACACTATCTCGACTTCGAGTTACTGTACTTGTTTATAGTAACATGTAAGCCAGGCTCTTCTCTTAACTCCAGTGCTCTGATTTCCCATCAGAAAACATCACTGTTCGGAGAAGACAGTCGATGAGAGGTGATGGAGAGGGGGAGGTGGAAGAAAGCAGGGTCAGAAGGGTCACGGGGCTTCTCAGTTGCGTGACCCCGAGTAATAAAAGCCTCCATAATGCAGAGACGAGCGGTATGAAACAGAGACTTCAAAACGGTTGCACTGAGCTGAATCCTGAGAATACCTTCACTACGAAGACAGCGTGTGTTTAACAAGACTTTGCAAGCTGCGGTATTAAATAATGGAAGATGTAAATTAGACTGCCTTACTTATTAACAAGTCCAGTGTGGCTTATGTAACCACACGTAAAACTTACTCTGTGGTTCTTAAATGCAAGTACAGCACAATTCGAACTTCTAGAACCTCCAGTGGAGGGGGCTGAGAAGTAAATAACACAGTAATAGAAACTGATGCCTTTCACTGAATCTTTATAAGTGCCAGAACTATTTGTCAGCACGATTAATTGTAATGGAAAAGCTAACTAAGGTGAGAGGGCCAAAATCAATGTATTAATGACATAACATTACAGTCACTTAACCAAGCCAACAATAAACTGCACACATAGAAGCTCTGGCAGCAGAAGCCACAAGTTCTACTTGTGTTGTACCGAGAGGAAAAAATATCACACGGTACCCAAATATTACCCCCAAGTCAGAGAACATCATCCAAGAAGTTCAGAAAAAAAGGTTATCACTGGTCCTCATTAAAATATAGGCAATATAGAAATCATGCCCATTTGACAAAAATGGGAGTATACTCAACACTACTGAATGGTTAGTGCCACCCAGAAATGGTTAAAATGGCAAGTTTTATGTTATATGTTTTAGACCACAATAAAAAATACATGACCTATTTTAACCATGCCTTTTACCACTTATGAGAGACAGGACTTGTCCTTTGCAATGCATTTTGGCACTTGATAAAACTGAGACTTAAATGGTCAGTTACATAATTCCAACAACAGGCTTTTCTCTTGAATTTCACTCATATGTGATGATCGTATTATTTTTAAACTGAATTTAGTGCAGGTTTGGTATAACTACCTCCCAGCTACAAAAGCTGGCACTTCTGACAGTGTGATGACAGCCAGACGTCATGCGTAGCTGCAGACAGAGAGCCAGAGATCCTGATACAGATCGTGTTCCTGGGTAAAGCCTGTGAGAGAGACATTGTGCTGGGGAGATGTAAAATAGGTCCAAACAATGACTCTGAAAGAAAAATGTCAGCTTGATTGAAAATATGGATGTAGAAACAAACAAAAAACTTCATCTCTTAATTAATCAATCCATATATTTTTAAATGTTCTATCACAACCTCTCTCAGTATTCTGACAGGCATAGTGGTTATATTTTCCCCAATATATTGCTATTTAAAAATGTACTATTTTTAAATGATACAGTCAACTGTTGCATCAGCAATTCTAATCAGTTTATTTACTTACATTATTTATTTTCTTAATAGAAACATGTAAGTTCATCGAAACATCACTAAACCAGAAGTTTAAAACAAGTTACTTTAGGACTACCCTTGGGTCTAATAACAAAATTTTTAAAAACGTGCAATTGGTTCCAACTGTAGCTGGCACCCATGGCCAAGAACTTAAAAGCTGTGCAAGCAAATATTAACATGTAAGAAAAAGAACACAGATGGTGTCATATAGGGATGAGTGAAACTAGCCCATAAACTGCTATCATTTTGATAACAAAAGAGCAGACTTCTAAATAATTATATTAAGTGCTTTCTAAAAAAGGATTCCAATACATTTTACAGACAAAAGCACCTGGAACTCAAACAGGCTGGGCTCATCAAAACTGAGGGACAGAGCAGAAAAACATACTTTCTTTCTGTCGACCAGTCTGATTCCCCATCCTAAACACTTATGTCTACATACTTCTCAATTATCTCAAGCTCAATAAATTTTCAAATCAAAGGGGTAAAAAATAAGAGTAGAAATCGGGAGCACCATTATTGAATGAATAGCCGTGACAAGAGCTTTAGTAAATATAATTAAAAAATCAAATTTAAAAATCCTGAAAATAGGAACTTGTCATCAGGTATTAAAAGAAAAACAGCAATCGTGGAGACTTATATAAGAAAGCTCTGCTTAAATCTACTGATTTTATATATATATATATATATATATATATATATATATATATATATATATATATAAAATCAGGTAGCTAAGACCACTAATATTTAAAATGCTATTTTTTAATTTAAAAAGAGTTTTGTCTTTTTTAATGACCTTTAAAATATTAAAGTGAACAAAGGTTAAAATGAAAATGATTAGCCCTATCTCATCTCCTCCCTCTTTATATTATCTATCATCTAAGACTTTTAAAACAACAAAACATCTAACTCTACAAAGGCACTGCCCATGATCTTAAAATAGTCTGAAGAGCTCTGAATTTCATATGACTTCCTGCATCTGACCACTGACATCCCATCTCATGAAAAAGTCACAGATCCTGACCAAAGGCCATAGACACTCTGACCAGCCTGGCAAACTTGGACCAGCCCAACCGGGGAACTACCCCCCCCCCCCCCCAACCCCCGCCCCCTTCGCTCAGGCTGACTGCTGCTCTCTTCGCAAGAAACACTGAGAACCAAGCCTCCTGGATCCAGCCTGACAGTTGGCTGCTCCTGGTACATCTCAGCAGTGCCAGGCCAGTACATTTTCCCTCTGCTCTGTTGTCACTTTCTTCTGCCCAAGCCTTATAACATGAACATCACCAGCAGAACAAACAGAGACTACGTGGGTCTCTTACTTACACGAAAAAAAAAAACAGGTTGTTTCGTTCATACGTTGGCAGAAACAAGCTGTGCGTTTTCTGTGGGGGGAAAAAAATGCATGCGCACTCGCCACCCGGAAGGCCACAGCCCAAGGCCTACTTTCGGGGCCGCCTACCTTGGTATCAAACACATAAGGAGAAAGTTTGCCTTACAACCCTCTACACGGATGAATAAAATTTCACGTTAATGAAATAAACAGCCAAGTCGAGTGAGGGGAAGGTGAGAGCAAAAATTTAAAAAAAAAAGAAACAACCTCTGGCAGAGGTGACAGGAGAATGCTGGAGAAAGGACTAGTAAATTCCTACTTGGTAATGCATTTGTCACAAGGCATCAGAAGAGGAGAAATGCACAATTCTCCTTCTCCATCAGATCAGAACAAGCCCAAACATCTCCAGCGACCTGGGGGTCCCATGCTAAAGGCAGCATTCATCTGAATACTATACACGGCTCTACCATCCAACCTAGTCCTGGGAAATTATTCAGTGGATGATTAAGATTTATAATCCAAATGGTCTCAAAATTATATCTCTGAGAAGTCAATTCCAAATTAAATCAGACCAGGCTTTTAGGCTTCCAACAATCACATTTTCTCTTTTGAGAAAGTGCTTTTCAACACTCAAAACTTCTCCTCTTACAGATCATTTTCAAGGCCATCTCTGAATGCAATCTCCTAAGCAAAATCTGATGCATAAAATGAAAAGGGAAATCGGTCAACTCCAAACCTCAGAGAAGGTAGTGAGGGAGAGACTCTAACCTCCTCCAGAAAATTTCAAAAAGTTAATTACCTTAACGTCCTCTCTGGTAAATATTACTGAAACTTCTCCTAACACAACATACACATAGCATCTTATCAAACAAAAATGTCCAAAATTTAGTTATTGCATATAGAAAGCTTAAAGCACACACAGCAGGGCTTTGAATTATAAAGTGCATATAGAATGCCTTCCTACAAGGGGCTCAAGGAGTGTGTGTGTGTGTGTGTGTGTGTGTGTGTGTGTGTGTAATGTATTTTAAATTGTCACACTTTTCCCCATGGTATTGGCCCCAAGCCGGTGAAAAAGATAGGTAATAGACAGATGGCCCAGTCCTGCACGTTTCATCTCTGACTTCTCCCCACACTTGAGATAACATTCATGCCCAGGAAGCACCTGCCTGGCCAGCCCAGATCATAGAGGCCAGGAGAAAAGAAAGAAGGAAGAACATCAGGAACTCACATTTCAGTGATGTTCTCAGGGTCTGCACTGTTAGGCTCCAATCTCGGAAATGCCATGATGCCAGGAGTAGGGTCACTGCACCAGACCCTAGAGGTACTGCATTTGCAGGACATGGGACAGGCGAGAGCGGCCCTCCAGAAGCCCACAACCAGCCAGCAGAAGCTCCAGAGTCGGGCCATTGCAGGTCCATGCCACCTTGTCCAGGTCGACATCCCTAGCGGCCAGTGCCAGCTGGAGTCAGACTGAGTACGTGTCCCTGTGCTGCACCAGTTGGCCTCCCCTTCCAGGACTGGGCAGACTTTGCCGCTCTCGGCCGCTCTCTCTACTGGATGTCGGTCACCGGCTGTAGAGTCGAGTGTGTCCGAGGCTGAGTAAGTCCTGAAGGGCCGCACCGTTCACAGTGCCTGGGGCATCTCCAGCTGATTCACAGGGGGCGCTACCGGCACTCGCAGCTCCACCGCGGGCGCCGCAGCATGGCCCAGCGCACCGGGCACCGGCTGCGGCGGGCGCTCCCGGGACTCTCTGGGGGCGCAGGCTCCTTGTTAGACGCACCTCGGGGCTGAGGACAAACAGACAGGCATGAGACTGGGCATAGGACCCCAGACACCACGAAATGAGGCACTCTCTTTTCGCGCTCGCATCACCCCCACCCTGACCCCAGGAAGGAGACTGTGGATAGATGAGCGCCCAGCTCCCATCCCAGAAATAAACTTGCCCCTCGATGTCACTGATGCCTTTGGGGCCACCAGTATGCCCATTCTCTTTCCAAGTCTGAAGTCGAGAGAGGGAAGGTAGGGCTAGGGTCCCTGAAACCGGATTCCATGGCACAGGCCAGGAGAAGGACCCTTTTGAAAGGGGGACGAAGAGACTGCCAGCTATGATGGCTCCGAGACGCTCCCCCACCACCCATGATGCTGCATAATTCACCACCGCCGCTGGGTGCAGGGGGCGCGGGCAGGTGGTACGGTGCGTCCCACCTGGGGAGCCGCCACAGCCGCCCCAGGGGGCACAGTGAGGGCCGAAAAAAGGGAGGCCACTGCCCGAGCTGCTCACCGGGCCTCCAGCGCCTACCGCCCGCCCGCCCGCGGCGCCTGGGTCCAGGCTCCTCCTGCCGCTGGGCACTGAGCGCAGAGAGCGGGAGCGAAGGAGCGAGTGAGGCTCTTGCTCCAACCCAATTCCGGGAGCCGCCGCCGCCGCCTCTGCTACTGCTGGCGAAGTGACGTGAGGGCTGACGCAGAGCAGGGGCAGAAACTCCAGAAAATTAGTCTGAAATCCAAAAACACACACGCTCATACACACACAAACCCATAACACCCTCCAGACAAAAGCAACAAGGAGGGGAGGGGAATCTGGGGGCGAGCGGGGAGGAGGGAGGCATCGGTGCCACTGGCCAGAAGCAGACAGCAGCAGCATGTGGGAGTTCACACACGCGCACATACGCGCACACACACATCCTGGCTGTGTAGACGCGCGCCCGCGTTGTGTGTGTGTGTTCATTTAGCTCCAGATACCTCCGAAATGGACCGTTCTGCTGCTCAACGCCTCCCAGTCTCTAATTCACAACGCAGTCTCTTCTACAATCACACCAGAGGCTGTCTCCTTTTTTTGAAATGAAAACCCAGCTCTGTTCAGCTCTAAAAAATGCGCTGATTCTTATTATAGGAATCCTCCCTCCCCGCTGTGTTCTCCTTTACCATCCTGCCTAAAAGGGAGGGCGAGGTATACTAAAAATAAATAAATATTGTAAACACCAAAACGTGTTAAACATCGGTAACCAAGGAACAGGCCCCCATTCCGGGATATCTATTTGGGAAGCCGTGATTTTGGAGGGTCTTCCTGTTGGTGCTTTTGTAGAAGAAGAGGGGTATTCAAAGGCAACTCTAGCTCTCAAAGTGGGCCTTTTTCCTGCGGTTTTCTGGGATCACACGCCTGGGAAACAGAGACATGTGAGGGGAAGGGAGCGCGCCTGACGCGTATTGGGTTCCCTAAGTGCGCGGCAGCAGCCCCGGCCTGTCCGATGTGTGGCGCCGCGTCATTTTCTCTCATCTGTCAGCCTGGCAGGATGCAGCCATTCCCAGATCACTCCCCGCTATGCCCACCCCCACTCGGGGTACCCAAAGCCCTTGCTCCCCTGCCGTACCTTGTGCGTTTTCGGGGGTGCGCGGGGGTGCGCGAACGCGTGCTCTGCGCCCCTGCCGCCCGGAGCACGACATACATCCAGCTACTGAGAAGCCCGGCACGACCAGAGCCTTGGGGTCTCACTAGGGACAAATGAGGCGATCCCGGAGGGTCGGGTGACAAATCGTAACTGCTCTGTGAGCTCAGTTAAATGATGGCTGCGGGGCATTCGCAAGCCTGGTCTGAAAATCCGTCTTCTTATTTGCGGCTCGGAGAAGCTGTTTTTCCGCAGTCATTTAGAAGGAACTAGGAAAATGCACCGCAGTGCCACACACTTCCGAGGGCTCTGGTGCCCCCGCGCGGGGAGAGAGCACCCCGCACGCTTGAGAGCACAAACCAAGGGCCGCGGCTGCAACTGCACGGGGGGCGCGCTCTGGCGCCAGATGCGCAACCTGCGGCTCCTGACGCGTGCGCGCCCGTCACCAGCTAGCGCACCGCGCTGCTCGCCAGGTCCGGCAGTTCTTCGAGCCAGTAAGGGCGACCGGATGGAATCTTGTCCAAAAGATGAGAATGATCACCCATCTGCCGGTAGAGGCTGGAGTGGGAGGATCGAAAAATCCTAACGTCCAAGTAAATGCTTAAATTGCTGAGACGTTTTAAAAATTACAAGGAAACGGAAAGCATGTAGTGGGGCTTTTATACAAACCCCCAGTGCTGAGTGCAACAACGGGAATCCTTGCAGAGAACCCATAACAATCTCGTTGCAGGGCCTGAAGAGAAAGCCATCAGGTCTGTCTCTCTCCATCACTGAGTTGTGACAAGCTAAACTACCAGGCTGAAGTTCATTCCTCTACTCAGCCGCTAATTCCTTCCGAGGAAGGAAAGCAAAGGGCAAAACTGTCTTGGTGCAGGTCACACAGTATCACTCTTCTACCTTGCCCATGCAGAACACCTGGGGGTAGGGTATGTGCATAATTATGTACATCTCCATATCTCTCTCCCTCTCCCTCTCTCTGTCACACACACAAACACACAACCCACCCTCACCCCCATTTTTCTCAGAAATGGCCTATTTGTGTCCTAGTGGCTGCAAAGTGTCAATGCAGCATGAAGACTATGTTGGAATATTTTTTAGAATCTGTATTACAATATATATTACTATTTAATTTAGATTCTAAATATACCCGCATTAAATATCTCCCACATAAAATTAGAACTGGCAGCCCACTTCTAATTACCCTTTTACTGCTCAAGTGTTTTTCCATAGTCCTTACCATTTTTCAACAGATCATTCACTTATTATATTTATTGTTTACTGCATGTCTCCTAGTGGAATATAAACTCCATGAAGGCAAGGGTCATTTTGTTCATTGATCTATCTCAAGGACATAGTAAGTATTAAAATGTGTGTGTGTGTGTGTGTGTGTATGTGTATGTGTAATGAATGAGATGCAATAAACTATCATTGAGATTCTTCAAAGGAGCCCTCTGAACGCTCCCTTTCTTAATATCTAAGATTGCAGGTCCCTCTAACTGTTCCATCTGGACACTCTCCCTCCCATCTCCACAATCTTTGAATCCTCCCAGTGCTGAAAGTTGACATAGCAATTCTTCAGACCTTACTTCCTGCTTCCTCTAGCCAGGTAGCCAGGTATGTTCTAGCTCCAAGCCTGAGGGCCTCCCTGTCATTCATGCTGGTATCTCAAGATTATCATGCACAGTGCCTGAAGCACACCAGGCAAACAATAACTATTTCTTAATTCATTAAATTATTGATCTATTTCAATTTTAAGAACTACAAGCTATTGCAGAGATTTCAAGTATTCTCAGACCAGAGATGATGAACATTTTTCAGATGGACGAAATGAAATAGAAATTATTTTCCCCAGATCGTATGAACTCTTCAAGGCAGAGGTGTAGAGAGACAAAATGTTGCAGGCTGTTGCCTATACTGAACCTGTACTGTTAGGACAGCATTTCTCAAGCTTTTTTTTTTACAACCATGATCCATATCATGAAACACCTTTTATATCATAATCCAATGCACATATATAAATACATATAACTAAAAAAAGTCTTCAAAAAACTTACTTACTCTTAATACATGGAATACACTAATTTTTATTTTATAACATTTTATTTTTAATGTTTGTAATAACCTAATAAATCAATTTTAACATCCAACACGGGGTTGTAAAAACAAAAACACTACCACCTTCTGCTTCTGACTAAGACAGAGTAACAGGGAACAGCTTTCATTTCCAACCAAATTATCAACACACTGAACAAAATATATGAAATAACAATTATAAAGACTGTGGAGATAAGATGATGAAGCCTGTGGCTCAAGAAAAGGAAATCCAGGGAGAGTCCAACTCCCTGAGTTAAAGAAACATAACTGAGAATTGAAGAAAACCAAGGAGGGCAGAGTTCACAAGAATCAAGTAGCAGAGAAGCGACCAGAGGGGAGAGAGAAGGGAATTTAAGGGGAAAAATGGGGAGGGATTTTGAGGAACAAGTATGAAAGACACAGGGATGAGGACTGGGGGGCGGGGAATGGGAGAGAGCAGGGAGACAGGGCTGGGGGGGGGGAGGCTGGGATGGGAGAAATAGACAAAAAATCTACTTGAAAAATAACTAAATAAAAATTTAAAAAAGTAATTAAACCATTAAAAAAAAAGTAGCAGAGAAGAGACTAACGTGCAAAGGGAGAACTTCAGCGCTCTGCAGCAGCCCCCTCAAGTATTCATCAGAGTACTGATTAGTACGTGCAGGTGGTGAAATTATCTGAAGCCAGGGGAAGAAGTGCCAAAAGGATTAAAGGGAACAGAGTCAAAGCCCTTTCAAATTCAAAAGGGAAATTGAAAACACTACACATTAGAATTTATGCTTGTGTGTCAATTATATCTCAGTAAAGCTGGAAAAACAAATGTAAAACTATTTTCTTTAAAAAAAGAGTTTGTGGGATGCCACTAAAGCATCTTAAACTATTTAGGAAGAATTTTTTAATGCCAAACACCTACGTTAGAAAAGAAAAAGGTCTTTAACTAGTGACCTCAGCTTCCACCTCCAGAAACAAAAGAGCAAAACACAAATGAAATACAAAGTAAACAGGAGAGAGGACATGATAAAGATAAGAGTGGAAAAAGATGCAGTAGAAAACAGAAAAACAAGACAGGAAATCAAAGAAGCCGAAAGCTGTTTCCTTGAGAAGATGGGTAACATTAATAAACTTCTAGCCAGAATGACCAAGAATGAAAGAAAAAACACACAAACGATCAAAAACAGAAATGACAACAATGACAGCACTAGAGAATCTATGAGTATTGAATAAATAATAAGGGAATATTATGAACAGTTTTATGTAAATAAATTTAGCAACTTCAGTGAAATGGATACATTCCTTGAAAGATACAAGCTTACACAGCTCCCTCTAGTAGAAATAGTCAACCTGAATAGTCCTGTATCTATTTCAGAAATTGAATTTCTAGTTAAAAACTTTCCCATAAAGATGACTCCAGACCAAAGGAATTTAAAGGTGAATTCTAAAAAACAATTAAGGAAAACTAATGCCAGAAAATGAATAGTACCAGAGTGTTACCAAGGAAGAAGAACACTTTCCAACTCCTTCTGTGAGGCCATATTGCCTTGATACCAAATCAAACAAAGACATTACAGGAAAATAAAACAACAAAACAATATTCCTCATAATGCTAAACATATAGATAAAATCTCAGCAAACTGAATCCACCAAAACATCATACATTCAAAAACATCATAACTGAGTGAGGTTCACCCCAAGAATGAAATTTTAGTTTAATATTTGAAAACCAATCAACCTATCCTATTTACAAACTAAAAATCTAAAGTGATGCAATCACCTCAAAAGACATAGAAAAGGCCAACTGACTTAATTCAACGTTTATTCCTGAGACCTCTCAACAAACAATAAATAAAAAGAAATGTCCTCAACCAATAAACAGAATCTACCAAGAGCCTATAGTTAATATAATCCTTAATGTGGAGAGTGGAATGCTTTCCCCAAAATATCAATAAGGAGATAAGGGTATCCCTTTCCACCATTCCTCTAGCACTGCACTGGAGTTCTCATCAGTGCGCTAAGTGAAGAAATAGAAATAGAAGCACGATGGTATCAGTGGCTGAAATGGAAGCAGCCCAACAGAAAGGAGGACCCAGCGGGCAGGAGCAGACTGAACCA